TTTGAGATGTCGTGTGAACCACATGACCCAAAAAGGATTTCTTATTTTTAAACTGGGTCATGACTCCAATAACTTTCATATTCCCAGCTGACAAGAACACAGATCTCACAAACAGCAGGGACACCACAGCCTGAGCGCTTTCAGAGGCTGCCATGCCATGCCAGCCATCTCCAGTGACCATCTCCAATGACAGAGCACTCGGATTCCAAGTTACTCGTGTTTAGCAACGCAGGAGCACTGTCCCATCATTTCAGCAGGGAGAAGGTGCTTTTCTGAAGAAAATTTATCATGTTCTTTTCCAAAGCTTTGTTTATAACCCAACCCACTGGGTTCTTGCTAGACTGACTTTTACCATGCAAGGAACATAGTTAGGGGACTATTTTTAAATGAAGACTTAAATAACAGTACTACTTTTAAAGAGAGACTTCAGTATCTCCTTTAACTGACTTCAGACTAGAAATGTGCCAACAAGGCACAAGATTGCATTTACTTTAAACAGGCTACCTCACAAAGGGAATGACTGGCTAGTTTTCTCAAGGTTACTAAGAACATATAGCATTTACATCATTTACAACAGATTTCACACTTGCAGAGCATCTTGTGTTCCAAAGAACCAAAAAACCCCAACAAAAAAACCCAATACACATTGCAGATTTATAGGCAGCTGAGGCCTAACTGATTCCCTTTTGTCACTGAAAAGAGGCCACTTCCTGGGCAATGCATAGCAACAGTCTACACTAACCAAGAGCAGTAAGCCTGTTTGTTTATGGCAGTGGAGGGAATTTAAAGCCTGGATTTTAAAACAGAAAGATCACTACTGAACAATGCTTTCCCCGGAGAGATGCCCTCACAACTTGAGGATGCTGTGCAGTCAACACCAAAAATGTGCTAAATCCTGCAGTATACTAAAAGTATGCTTATTCTATATTACAAGGGTTTGATGGTAAGACTATACCTGAGTAGCATTTACTGTCAAAGGAGAGTTTCAGACAAGTTTTAGTCACAGAAATTAAAACAAATTATACCATCAAAAATACGGGGACAGGACTGAGCTTCTGCGAACCATGCAAAGTTTGTTCATGTAAGCAGGTGAGGAGTAACTGCACAGCCAATGGAGTATCTGTAAAACTTTAGGGTCATCTTTGTGCATTTTGCCTAACAAAACTACCAAAGTCACAGGTCAATTCGGAACGAAGGCTGAGAAGTGCCAGCCAGGGGTATCTGAGCCTACCACTGAGGGTCATGTGCACAGAGGGAAGTGCCAAACTCGGGTATTAGGTTTGCGCTGACCATTCGCATGTTTGTAGATTTTCAGTTCTACACATAGCCTGGGATCGGTGTCATTCTAATAATAAACTTCTGTATGGCATATAACAGCTCTAAATTCATCTTCCCTTACTGAAATGCCAGGGCTGAGTCCAATATGCACTTATGAAGGTCAGCATAGGCAAAAAGATGATGTGGGGAAGTGGAAACAGATTACCTGTGCTTCCCTTAGACCCAGATTCATTCATAGGCAGGTATTTCCCTGCTTAAGGTAAAAAAAAAAAAAAAAATAGAAAAAGAAAAAAAAAGTGTTCTAGTATTGAAGTCTGCAAGGTAAAAGTGCAGTACTTGAATATTACTTAGATTCTGGATTTAACAGAGAACATGATATTGTGAGGTAAGGAAGGAAAGCCAAGGATAACAGTCAGAAGGATATAAAGATCAGTAACTTTTTGTTCAGAAACTGATAGAGCGTAAAAGTGAGTCAGGAAAGCATTTGATATAGAACATCCCTTCTACACTAGTCCCCTCCTACAGATGCACAACAAAAGCCGTATTTCCATGCCAAAACATGCATACAGTACCTCTTAATTCTCTAACATGCCAATCAGGAGCAAAGTGAAAAAAGGAAGACAAAGGAATAAAATTAGGATAAGCACAACATAGAGGACTCACATATTCAGTAAGACTCGCTCATATTAATTAACATTTCTTTTAAGAAAAACATTCAAATATATTTAGCAAACACAGCATCTTTGTAAAAAAAAAAGTAAACACGATAAAGATAATTCTAATAGCAGAGGGGGAAGAAGCCATGGTTACAGAGCAAATCTGACATCATAAATCATCACTGAAACACAGAGGAAGAATTGTTCACTGACAGCTCCTACTCCCACAGATGTCAGTAACAGAAGCTGCCGGCGTCAGAAGTGTAGGATTCAGATACGTAAAATGAGAAAGGATGAAACAAAATTATTACAACTGAGATTAAAAATAACACCTTATCCTTCCTCCCATAGCAGAATTCATGTTCTAGTCTGTGCAAACAATTCAGGTGTTGTCTAGATGAGGAGATGGATGGAGCTAACTCTTCCAAGACTGCCTAGTGTGTCAGGTAAAGGTCTGAACTAGATGCTCTAGTCTCAGGCTTGTACTCCATCCCAGAACCAGAGAAGACAGCCTTGTGTCCTAGTTTCTCAGTTTTTGAAGCTCCTGAGACTGCCTTACAACTCTCTTCCCCATCACCAACAGGTTCACTGGAAAAGTCTTCTTTGGCAATATACTACCTCCACCTGTCAGATCAGTGGGACAGAAGGGAAGGAAGAGGAATCTGATACTGACCTCTGCAATGTGCTGGGTTCCTCTTTGTACACAAAACCAGTGTTCATTGCTTCAAAACAAAGCCGGCATTTCTCTACACGCACTGCAGAGCGCTCACACCAGGCCCAGGGGTAGCTGAAGGCTTTGGTACACCCCTCTTTCTATCAGTTAGAAAGGTGAATCACTGAATGGAGGCTGATCAGAATATGATGTCTGAGAAAAACTGTGATCAGAATTATCTGCTCCCCTGTTTTCTACAGAACACTGAAATGTCTTGAAGCTCTTTTTTCCCTCTTCTTTATTCTCCCCCTTTCTAGGTCCCTTTGCATGATACCTTTTCTGGTGCTGTCCTAGACACTTCTCTCTTCTGACCACCGCCTTGCAAACTGAACAGGCCTTGCAAACTGAACAGGCCAGCAAGTAAGCAGAGCCGATCCCTGCATAGCGGGGCCATACCCTGGTGCTAACTGTGAAAAATTTCTTGGATGACCTTACATGAGTTCCAGTGAGCTCTCAGTATCAGCTTGGGTTTGATTTTCAACAGGTCTCTTTTCTGGACAAGCCTCCGTGACTTACGTCATTTCCAGTACCAACCAAATTATGGGCTTTCACACCTAGGCAGCTAGCTCTTCTGAAACACCTTTGCCTTCTCCCATGCCTTCAGAATAAATCACTGAACAGGAGGTGTTTCTCTAAGCTTAGAAAATCACTATTCAGTTGTTGCAATGCATCTATGAGGAAAAAATCTCTCTGTTGTTGAGCCTTTTTTCCATTCAAAGTATTTTTAGCATATCCACTTCCTACGTATTTAGGTAATAAATCCAGTTCCCTTCTTATTTCTAGAAGTGCCAATCAGATGTTTTAAGCATCCCTTTGGTGAAAGAGTACAGCCTAGTGGCAGGAAAATGAAGGATGGGCTTATTCCACTTCTCTACTTGCCTGTCAAGACAAAGCTTGACATAGAACTTAACATCACACCAGTTACAACTGAAAGTTACTTTTGAACTGATTACGAAAACTGAATGTTCAAGTAACTGATGTATTGACAAAAAATATTAAAAGGGAAACAGCACAGTAAATGCTTTCTTTTCTTTATTCTTTAGGGCAACAGTATTGCTGTGAGCCTAAGGATATAAAGAAAAAGAGGACTTGTAAGGAGTAATTGCTTTTCTTAGACCCACTGGTACAGCTGGAAAAAATGATCAAGCTTTCATGCTCAGAATCTCTTTCTCACCTGAGACATTTTATGAGATACCTGATGAAAGGGCTCAGCTTAAAGTTTGACTTCTGGATATATCAGCTACATGAGCTGGTCTAACAAAAGACATTACTTCTCCTGCTGAGGTCCTCTGTTACGATATGGAGAAAGGGCAACGAAGGCTTCTGTGCCACTGGATCTGAGCCCTGTCTGAAAAAGGGAACCTGGGGAGCAGCAGAGGGGAATTCACAGTTTCACTGACCTTTTGCTAGCTTGTGACTTACCAACCAGACTATCACTTGAGGAGGGGGAAGGGGATCTATACAATGCTGCCACACCAAATCACTGCTTTTTTGATAAGATCACAAAAGCTTCCCATAAATCTGCAGTCCTATGAACTGGGCCACCAAACGATGACAGCTATTCACTGTCGCTCTACTGATGAAGTTCTAATGAAGAGTTGACATCATCAAATTAATTATGTCAGTGAGATGGAAGCTGTGGGGTGGTGGTTGTTTTGTTTTGTTTTTAAATCATTATTACTAAGCTTTCAGGAGAAAGGATCAGCAAGATAATATAAAACGATATAGTAACTTGATATAGTCACTCTCATGTTGCTGATGCTCCAGGAAAGCAGCAGCACCAGCAACTAGGAAGTTACTGGTTAACCAGAGGAGTCAGAAATAAGAACGAGGATAGTTCTGACACTTCAGACTTAATACCTACTGTGCAAGTTTCTTGTGGTTGCCAGTATGTAGGTCAGGCATAAATGGCAGACACACAGGCTCTGAAAATGACATGGATCTCATTCATCCTGCCTACCACCACGGGGACTGAATGCCTCTATTTGACTGAAGGTTTGCCAATTCTGAACTGTGAGAATTTGATGGAATTGCTATGAAAAAAAAAAGAAATAAAGCTAAAGACACAGAGTCTGAGAGTATACATACATCCCATGATAGTACTTGAACCCACCTTAGAAGTGTAACAATACACTTGTAACAGTAATTTTCAGACTTAAAAAAAAACAAAACAAACAAACAAAAAGAAAAAAAACAAACAACAAAAAAACAAAAACCAACCACCCTAAAACAAAGTCTCTGTAGCCTACTGGTAAGAGAAATAAAGTGGCACTCATGATCATCTGGCTAGTCTTGTCCCAAGCTCCTGCAACAAGCCCCTATAACAAAGTACTAGTAACATGAATGCTCTGTACCTGCATCTTCCTCTTGACAGTCTCAAAGGGGAAAGAAAGCGTCTGTGCCACACCAGCTGCTACACAGCCGTTTATGAAGTTCTGAAGAGGAGTGAAATGAACTATGGGTTCTCGCCAGATTTTGTCCAGATTGATGTAAACAAAGAATGAGCCTGCAGAAAATGGGACAGCACCTAGAAAGCAAACCAGAGAGGTTTATATCAACACACTGTACACTAAGAAAACAGAGCTGCTCATCACATAACCTAGAAAGATGGAACGAGCCACTGCCAGTTTACACCTCACATTGCTCAAAACTGATCAATATTTTGAAGAACTTTATTTTTTAGGTTTGGTTTACCACCAAACACCCATATTGTAGCACCTAGATGTGCTGATAGGGGCATATATTTACATATTAAAATGTGCATGTTGTCAGAATTATTAACTGCTTTAGCCTCATGACAGGTCAGCTCTTTCTCCAGGTTCTCTCTTTTGTGACAAGCTCTTTCTCCAGTCCAAGTTTCTCTAGTCCGACCCTAGCAGTTGTACAGAGTTGTAAGAGGCAAACAGAGTTGCCTCTTCAGTCAAGCTGATGAGGGATACTTCTGTCCTCTTTTGCTTGTTTCATGCTCTCAGCAATTTTATAATGAGATTATACATTATTATGCATTTTTTATAATGTCATATTGTGAAAAAGTGGACTCAAAGTTAAATGGCATCTTTAAAAGCTATGGAGAGTAAATAAATAATTAAAAAGTCATTTCATATAAAGAGAGAATACCGCTAATCTTCACTTTTCACATCAGTTATACATTACTGCTGATACTGGTTTCACTGAACAGCTAGGGAGACACTCTCACACTTAGATAGGAATTAGGAACACTGTGTGTATATATATATATTTTTAAAGGGTTAAATGGTGGATATCTTGCATCCGAGCACAACTAGATCATCTATAAAAGGAGGAGAAGAGTATTTTGTTGAACACTTAACCATACATAAAATGCTACGCACTTGGTCATAATTTGAAGCAATAAAGCTGCAGCAGAGGTAATCAGTATTGTCGTACCTTGTAAATCTACATACCTTCTACAGAAGAACATTACTATTTGCTTTTGAAATCAAGTGGGGAAATGAATGCACTATATAGCTGCAATAAACATTGTGCAATGAGGTGATTTTTCCCCCAATATTATTTTACCTAATATAGCTGGTGAAACGCCACGGTAGAGTGCAAGGAGTCCTTCTTGATGATAAATTTTGTAAAAAGCATGAAGAATTCCTTCATAAGATGGTTCCAGTCGGTTCTGCACAATGAGCCGTGTTTTAATTACGTCAGTGGGGTAAGTCACGATGGTTGCAACCATGCCAGCCAGACTTCCTGCCATGATGGCTCTCCAGTGGGAAATATGACCCAACTCATCCGTGAAAAGTATAACAAGTCTAGAGTAAATACATAAAAGAGGTACTATTAATGACAGTATGAACAAAACACATGAAAAATTAAGGCAGATTATTCTCAATGTAATTGTTCTTCTGCCCACAAGCCCCTTCAGCAGCAGGAGTTGAAACTTTAACATGTATTTAATCCAAGACCTTACTATATATAGCACCACACAAGCATCAGAACCTCTGTGAAACAGAACATGTGAACGGGCAAACGTGAGCAGAGTCAAAAAAACATGCCTAAGAGCCCGAAGAGATTTTGGGTAAATCCACACTGCACAGAAGTGCAGAAATGCAAAAGTTATAGTTAACAGCTAAGTCAGGGACTGGAATATATAACTCTGCAAATGCAATTTGCTTTGATTTTAGTGTTACTGAGCTAAAATACTTCCAGTACCTGAAAGAGCTTTTTTAGAGGCAGCTTGCATAGCTCTACCTGCACCACAGTTCCCAGCACAGCCTAAGCTCACATAGCTCGAGTTGTGGTACTGTGCTGGAGGTCCGGAGCACCAATTCAACAACGAAAAAATCTTCAAAGATACGGAGACTAATGGTTCAAATGATTTACTTGTTTGCTTTGCAAGAGACTTTTAAAGTAATTTTTGACCACAGAATCCTCATTTATACTTCCATCTACAGGATGGAAATTACCATGACTTAAAACATGCCTGCAAGAAATTCTCTGATCATCAGTTAGAGACATTGGTCCAACCCCCCAGTCAAAGTTATCATGTAAGAAGAAATACATAGATAATGTCATCACAGGCCTTCTGAGAACTGAAACTTCCTCTGTTGCTTATGTTGGGACAGAAAGGCCCACAGGGGTACTTCTCTAGAGAAGACTTATGTCCGGGCACTGTTATGCTCAGGAGGTTAAGTCTAAATTTGAAATTTTGAAATTGAGGCACAGAGTTTTAAAGGCTAACCTACAACTCATGCATTTGTGATGCACAGAAGGACTTTTCTATGTACGCAGGGCACTCCTACATCAGGAGAAGTGTCACGGAGGCAGCAAGAAGCAAGTAAAAAGGCTTGAGAGGAGAATCTTAGCTGGAAGTAAAGAAACTTATTATTCTGTTTTGGAAGCATTAACTAAACTGCCTAAACAGCAGATTTACATTTAAACTACACAGTGTTACCATACCCAGAACAAAATAATTTGTAAAGATTTACAAGTCACTGCTTGCTCAGTTGATGTTTTTTCACATGAGCATGCATTTTCTACTGCATGACAGATCCCTGCATCTACTTGTCTCGTCCCCTGGAGAGAGCCCAGAGCAGAAAGACTAGCCAAGCAGAATCGAAAGGGCATAAACTTTTTTTCCTATGTGTCTTGTACAGTCCCTAAAGCAACACAGCCTGATTTTCCTGTGCGTACACAAATGCGTGGGGAGGGTGGTGGGGTGTCTCTAGGCGCTACCCAGATAACATTTAAAACTGCCGCAGAAAGACAGGAGTCTGCACAGTAACCGCAGACGGAGTGCAGAGTCAGCTAAACCCCCCCCTTCCCCAGCCAGCTCCCCCCGCACCGCCATTCCTGGGGCTGCTGACTGTGCTCAGCCCAGGTCCTCCTGCAATTGGCATTACTATTTAAGTTACTGTGTAACAATGCTCTTTTTGTGTTTCTTGCCTTTATATACACCATTCTCCCACCAGAAAATACATTTAAAAAATCCCCAAATAACGTATCAAGAAACATGTGTAGGCAGCTTTTGTTTAATTTCCTGGTAGCCTACCTCCACTTGTAATTCAAAAGAACACCCTGTGCAAACTAGAGACAAACTATAGCCTTGCAAAGGGAATATACTGTTTCAAGCTGAACAAACAATGGAGTTAGTTATTTTGCTCAAAATCAACTTGTTTATACTGGTGCAACACACTGGCTCTTCTGGGAACCTTAAATTACATTTAAATCACTGTTTCTGCCTTCCCACTGCCATTATCTCTCCCCTCGTCTGACGACCGCATGCATTACAAGCAGAAGGACACAACGAAGCTGCCCAGTTCCAGGGTCGCTCCATCTACCATTTCCTGGAAGGCGCAGGCAGAGCCAGGAGGATGACTCTTGCTCAGCCAGATGAGTGACAAACCCCAGCAGGCTGCGCAGCGTCAGCCCGGGCGAGAGCCGCAGCAGGCCGGATTGGCCAGCGCCGGCTGAGCCCATGCTTCTCCCCACCCAGCACGGCCCACGAACTGGAATAACCCATCGCCCAGCTGGGCGGAAATGTCAAGTGCATACCATACACACAGCTGACCTTAATGAGAAAAAGAAAGAAAGAAACCCAACCCTCAAAGAGGCAAAACATGCTGGTGCGTGCCAACAGTCACGCACTCCTTTCAAAGGCTAGAAGATACTGGCAGCAAAAGGGAATCCTAGGGGCAAGGGTGGGTCGGCAGAGCATAAAAAAATGTTGATCCTGCTGCAGTCCTTCCAGTGCTTACCTGAATTTATTGTCTGTACTATCGAAAACAAGATCTTAAAACAAATGTCACATATCGACTTCAAAACCGATCAAATTTGCATAAAAACCGCTGCATAATAGGGTAAAAGATTTGAATAATGATTTTGTTCTTACTTTCTTTGATACAGACAATATAAATACTTAAAAGCGTATAAATGAATAAAATAAACTGGTTGCAAAGAACAGATGTCGCAGTCGCATTTGTAGGTAGCACTGTAACTTCATTTCTAAAGGAATCTGGCTGAGCAGAAGAGATTTAACAGACTATCAACCCTTCACCATTTGAAGCACACCTCTGACTTTACAAGCAGTTGCTGGCATGTCACCAGGCCTTAAGAGTTGCTACACGCTGAATGAACTAAATAAATGAAGCATTAGCCAGGGTACATGTCTTTGGGGAGAGGGGACACACAACCAGCCAGCCATCCAGCTGAGACAGACATAAAGTGCCCCTACAGACTAAGCTCCCCGCTTTCCACCCCCTCCTCTTTTGCAACAGACGCGAAAGGCCGGAGC